GAAGAGAGAGTAGGGTGAGGACAGGAGGGGGGTGAAGTGAGCAGAGATATGGAGGTGCAGACTGTGCAGGGGAGATGTAGAGGAGTTAGTGGGATGTGACGAGAGAGAAGAGAGACTGTCCATATTAGACTAAACTGTTTTAATTGATAAAACAAAACATGCATACAGCACAGTAGGAACCTTGTCCTTAAATGAGAGCAAAAGATCCTGTGGGGGTCCCAATGGTGTAAGAAAGTCACAGTGATTGATTGGCGAATAGAGATGAGCGAAGTATTCAAAATATCGATTCGTTATGATTCGGTCGAATTCGAGGAATAAATTAGGGGGGGGACATTCGATGCGCAATATATTCGCTGCGATTTTAACACTTTATAAAAGGGTGTTTCTAGGCTTCACTCAGAAGCCTTTATATTAGTGTGGAGAACACTGTACCTTTAATTTAAATGCCCTTTTGGAGTCTGCTGGGGAAGAGAAATAATTACCGTCAGTCAGTATGACCATGCAGATGAGTGCCGTCGCTCTATCTTAGAACTGACACCGACAAGAGCTTCACTAATCATCTTGGGCAGTCACGGGGCCAAAACCAGAGTGTGGAGCACCACAGTGCGGCGGTGGGAGGGCAGCAGCAATGGGAGGCCATACAGCACTCCTATGACAAAAATGGAACCCACCAGCAGTGTGAGGAGACCTGAAAGTGGCACATGGCAGAGTGTGGCGATGGAGACAGCAGCAATAGGGAGGCCATACAGGGACCCATGACACACTCTGGACCTGGGCAGCAGCATTAGGAGGCGGTACAGGGGCCCAGGGGGGGGGGCAGATTACGGGCCTGGCTAGCAGCAGCAATGGGAAGGCCCGTAATCTGCCAGCACCCTATGACAAAATGGAACACACCAGCAGTGTGAGGAGAACCTGAAAATGTGGTCACATGTGGCAGAGTGTTGGCGATGGAGACAGCAGCAATGGGAGGCCCGTACAGGGGACCCATGAAGAGACTTGGACCCTGGCAGCAGCATGAGGAGGCGGTACGGGGGCCCATGGCAGATTACGGCCTGGCTAGCAGCATAGAGGAGGCCCCGTAATCTGCCAGCACCCTTGACAAAATGGAACACACATAGCAGTGTGAGGAGACCTGACAAGTGGCACATGTTTGGGGCATGATTCATGGCGGATTTAGTCAGTTGTGTCAGGAACTGGTGGTTTGAAATCCAGACTAATCGCCACGCCTGATTCATTTTCACAAACGTGAGGTCTCTCCACACTTTTGGTGGACAGTCGTGTCCTCTGCGGAGTTACAATACCTCCTGCCGCACTAAACACGCGCTCCGATGCCACGCTACTGGCCGGGCATGACAGCCTTTCAAGGGCAAATTCAGCTAGTTGGGGCCAAAGGTCAAGTTTCGTTGCCCAGTAGTCAAGGGGATTGTCTACCTCGGTTGGCAGGGTGCTGTCCAAGTAGGCCCAAGCGTGTTGTTTGAGGTCCTGCTCCAGGTCCACCTGATGCTGCTGCTTCTGCGGCTGGTTAGTAGTTTCCTCACTGCGCTGGTGAAGAAAGCTACTCATCATCGACTGCAGACTGAGGCAGCCGCTGCTGGTGGAGCTGCCACTGCTCCTACCACCCCACCCCTCCCCTGCTGCCATGGCAGTGGAACGCGAGCGCACAGGGCCCACAGTGTCTGAGGATGGACGTTGGCGCAGAAAGGCAGAGACCAGCTGACTACATAGGTGGTTTTTATAGTACGTTATTTTGGCCTCCCTCTCAGCAGGTGTGAAAAAGGCCACCATTTTTGAACGGTAGCGAGGGTCCAACAAGGTGGACAGCCAAAAGTCATCCCTCTGTCTGATGGTTATTATTTCGGCTGTCGCTACGCAAGCAACCGAGCATGCTATGGGCCATTTGTGCCAAGGAATGCGAGGGACTCCCTGCCTCCATCTCCACAGCATACTGCCACGGTGCTTCTGGGTCCTCTGTCTCCCTCCTCCTCCTCCTCTACCAGATGCTCCTGCTCCTCCACTCCTGTCCGCTGAGTGGAAAAACCACCCATTTCACTCAATAATTCCTGAGCACAAATGTCCTCCTCTACCTCCTCCTCTTCTTCCTGTCCTGCCCCCACAGGGGTCATGTGGCGTTGAGATCTGTGCGCCACGTTAACCGCACCTTGACCAGCCATTGTTAACAGCATTTGTTCCAGGACGTGCAACAGAGGAATGACGTCGTTCATCCCATAGTCCTGCCGACTCACGAATAGCGTGGCCTCCTCAAAGGGCCTGAGCAAGCGGCAGGTGTCACGCATGAGCTGCCAATGGCTGACATTGAAGTTACACAGGGGAGTACCTTTATCCGCTTTTAACATCTGGAAATCGGTGATGGCCTTTCGCTGTTCGTAAAGGCGGTCTAACATGTGTAGGGTTGAATTCCACCTTGTTGCAACGTCGCAGATCAGGCGATGCTGTGGAATTCTGTTCTGCCGCTGCAGCTCAAGGAGGGTGTGCTTTGCGGTGTAGGAATGGCTGAAATGCATGCAAAGTTTACGTGACATTTTAAGGATGTCTTGCAGTGGGATGGTGGATTTTAGGAACCGCTTGACAACCAGATTGAACACGTGAGCCATGCATGGCGCATGGCACAACCTTCCTTGACGCAGAGCAGACACCATGTTCTTTCCGTTTGTCGGTCAACATGGTTCCGATTTTCAGTTTGCGCGGAGACAGCCATCTGTCGATTTCTCTGTTCATTACACTGAGAAGTTCCTCCCCTGTGTGACTACGTTCGCCAAGGCATACCAGGTGCAGCACAGCGTGACACCGTTGCGCCCTGCACATGTGATATGCCGGTCGGGTAATGGGACTTGGCACGGGGGGGTGGCGGCTGAGGACACGGCGGAAGAAGAGGTGGTAGAGGCGGACATCTTTGCTGGACCAAGGACGTGCAAACGTGGAGGCAAAAGCGGCGTGACCTGTCCAAGTTGCTGGTGCGGCTGTGCCGGCACCACGTTCACCCAGTGGGCCGTAAATAACATGTACTGTCCCTGACCGTAGTTACAGCTCCACACGTCGGCGCTGCCGTGCACTTTGGCAGAGACCAACATGCTCAAAGACTGGCCCACCATCTCTTCTACATGTGAATGCAGGGCTGGCACTGCCTTTTTGGCGAAGAAATGACGGCTTGGCACTCTCCACCGCGGCGCGGCACAAGCCATCATTTCTCGGAAAGGTGCTGAGTCCACCACTTGGAAAGGGAGGGACTGCAGCACCAGCAACTTGGACAGGAGGACGTTCAGCTTTTGCACCGTCGGGTGCGTGCTCGCAAACTGTTGTCTCTTGGAAACGGATTCCAAGAAAGACTGCTGACGGAATCCGTGAAGAGGAGTAGCAGGAGAAGGAGCATCTGAACGAGCGGAAGATGCCAACGAGCGACAACTCCCCTCAGCAGAGGTGTTGGAGCCTTGACTGGCTGATAGAGGGCGATTGACGTCGGGTGACGGAGCAAGTAACGGAGCGGGTGATGGAGCGGGGGCTGGGGCAGGCAGAACCGCCGTATCTTTATCACGGTTTTCCCAGGGCCACCGAATGGCGACGCTGCATATGCTGCCGCAACGCTGTAGTCCCAACATGGGCCCCCTGGCCACGCTTGACTTTCTGGCCACATAGTCGACATTACGGCTACGTTTACTTCCTCGGGCGGCTTGACGAAAAATTGCCACACCGCCGAGTAGGAAACTTTGCCCCCGATACTCCTCACTGGCTGACTGCTACTTCCTCCGTGCACACCGGCACCACTACTGGCCGTGGTGGTAGGCTGCAGTGGAGCTGGTGCTCTACTCCATGGCCGTTTGCCTCCACTGACACTGCTGCGACCCTGCTGCCTCCTGGGCAACCCACCGACTGTTTTGCTTGCTGCCAAGCTGGCACCCTCTTTCTCCTGATGATGCGGAAGCAATAGCCTGATGACGACGAGGCTGCCAAGTGCGATCAGCCTCATCATCATCAATTAGGGTCTCCGCCTCACTACTAGCCCCCTCGGCTGCGTGTGGGTCAGGAGACAGACCTGTCTCTAGACCGGCTACCGAGCCACTCTCCTCGCCACTACTTCTTCGCCTGGCTGCTGAAGAGGCGGATGTCTCCCCCCGTTCCTGACCGCCCTCTGTTAGCTCTTCCTCACTGTACAGTGGGGCTGAGCCCACAGCATGCGATACTTCGCTTGGTGAGGGAACACCAAAGGACAGGGGCAGGTCGAGGACACGTGATTTCAGTGGGCTTGCTCCCGGGCCATGCCAACTAACGGTTGTGTCTGACGTACCCACCGACCGTTGGCTGTAGGTGTCAGAGGTGACCTGGGAAGAGGAAGACGACCGAGCCAACCAATCGATGACGGCAGGGTTGTCGGTGGAGACACGACCGCTGGATGACACCGGGAGCAATGGCCTCTGGCTGCGACTAGTGCTGCCTCGACCCCTTCCTCTGCTGCCACGTCTGCTCGCTCCTAAAACATTGCCTCCTCTGCCACTCCTCTGCATGTTGTCTGACATACTCTTTAATTCAACGATTATGTGTCCCTGAGTAACAATTCTGTGTCCCTGAGTAACAATTCTGTGTCTGTCCCTGAGTAACAACAATTCTGTGTCCCTCAGTAAACACTTCTGTGTCCCTCAGTAACAATTCTGTGTCCCTCAGTAACAATTCTGTGTCCTCAGTAACAATTCTGTGTCCCTCAGTCAATTCTGTCTGTCCCTCAGTAACAATTCTGGTGTCCCTGTCCTCAGTAACAATTCTGTCTGTGTCTGTCCCTCAGTAACAATTCTGTGTCCCTCAGTAACAATTCTGTGTCCCTCAGTAACAATTCTGTGTCTGTCCCTGAGTAACAATTCTGTGTCCCTCAGTAACACATCATTCTGTGTCCCTCAGTAACAACTTCTGTGTCCCTCAGTAACAATTCGGTGTCCCTCAGTAACAATTCTGTGTCCCTCAGTAACAATTCGGTGTCCCTCAGTAACAATTCTGTGTCCCTCAGTAACAATCCCTTAACAATTCTGTCTGTCCCTCAGTAACAATTCTGTGTGTCCCTCAGTAACAATTCTGTGTCCCTCAGTAACAATTCTGTGTCTGTCCCTGAGTAACAATTCTGTGTCCCTCAGTAACAATTCTGTGTCCCTCAGTAACACAATTCTGTGTCCCTCAGTAACAATTCTGTGTCCCTCAGTAACAATTCTGTGTCCTCAGTAACAATTCATGTTCCCTCAGTGTCTGTCCCTCAGTAACAATTCTGTGTCTGTCCCTGAGTAACAATTCTGTGTCTGTCCCTGAGTAACAATTCTGTGTCCCTCAGTAACAATTCTGTGTCCCTCAGTAACAATTCTCTGTGTCCCTCAGTAACAATTCTGTGTCTGTCCCTGAGTAACAATTCTGTGTCTGTCCCTCAGTAACAATTCTGTGTCTCAGTAACAATTCGGTGGCTGTCCCTCAATAACTCGTAACAATTCTGTGTCCCTCAGTAACAATTCTGTGTCCCCTCAGTAACAATTCTGTGTCTCAGTCCAATTCTGTGTCCCTCAGTAACAATTCTGTGTCTGTCCCTCAGTAACAATTCTGTGTCTGTCACTCAGTAACAATTCTGTGTCCCTCAGTAACAATTCTGTGTCCCTCAGTAACAATTCTGTGTCTCCCTGAGTAACAATTCTGTGTCTGTCCCTCAGTAACAATTCTGTGTCTGTCCCTCAGTAACAATTCTGTGTCTGTCCCTCAGTAACAATTCTGTGTCTGTCCCTCAGTAACAATTCTGTGTCCCTCAGTAACAATTCTGTGTCTGTCCCTCAGTAACAATTCTGTGTCTGTCCCTCAGTAACAATTCTGTGTTTGTCCCTCAGTAACAATTCTGTGTTTGTCCCTCAGTAACAATTCTGTGTCCCTCTGTGTCCCTCAGTAACAATTCTGTGTCTGTCCCTCAGTAACAATTCTGTGTGTCCCTCAGTAACAATTCTGTGTCTGTCCCTCAGTAACAATTCTGTGTCCCTCAGTAACAATTCTGTGTCCCTCAGTAACAATTCTGTGTCCCTCAGTAACAATTCTGTGTCTGTCCTCCTGTGTTCTGAGTAACAATTCTGTGTCTGTCCCTCAGTAACAATTCTGTGTCTGTCCCTCAGTAAACAAT